AACAGAGACCAACGTTGATCCCCTAACATGCTCCCATTCACTGGTGGCAGGTTGATTCCAGTTGACCCTCTTCCATCTTGGAGGGGGCAGATATTTGTCCTCACTGGAATACATACATTCGGGATATGGACACGCCTTCCCTGACCCACAGTGCTTCTGCCCGTAGCACTATCTGCGAACTCACAGAACACCTTACCCACCATCGGGCTGTTGCCCATGGCATTGCCTCTGATCGGTGACTTCCATGGCTTTGCTTCGTTTACAGCAAAGGGAATGCAGCACGGGGCTCTTGGCCACCGACTTAACTGGTTTTACCACACTCCATCACCTAGAAGCAACAGGGCACATTTTGACAGCTTGCTAATGTAATGTGATAGTTTACTGAAGACTCAGTTATTATGTCATTTGGGAGTCAACACCCTGAAAGGATGCGATGTTATCTTAAAGGAGACTGACTAAGCTTTGAAACAGAACAATACATGGTGCTCTCTCTCACATAGCCAGATCACATGGGTCTTGGAACCAAGCGGTGGAAGCAGCGAGCCTCACTATTATGCCCCAAAATGCACTCATAGAATATTTGCTTCCCATCCTGGCTACCTTGAGCTCTACTTGTTTGGCTTTCATAATCCTCAGAAAAGAGCTGCTCACCAGGGGACACACCCATGACTCCAGGTAAAGAACCCCAGTCCGCGAGGCACTCTGCCAGAACTTACTGAGAAGAAACGCATGATTGATGTGTCTGTGAAGGATCCCGGCAAAGGACCGTCTCTCTAAGGGCTTGCTTCTGGAAAAGACATTCTGGGTAGTTATCGGAAGAGTTTTGATCCTAAGTTTATACAAGAAGAGAGAAAACAGGCACGCATACTGATTTTTATTTATTTGCTCAACTAACTGGAAAGAAAAGTCGTTGTTTTAAGGTCTGTAGAAGTGGACAAAGCTTTTCCAGGCCTCCGAGGCACTTGAAGATGCAATTAAGAAGAAAAACTTTCCTACTGCCTTGTCTGCGTACGTTATAGCAGACTAAAGTAGAGCAGGGCTGCTGCTTATGCAAAATTAACGTCAGTTCTGTTGCACACTCATGTAGCCATCACCAGTGACTATGCGAAGGTTATTCCTGCTGTGGGCAAACAGGGGCCACATGCTAACCTGACCAGCTCAGGGTAGGCCTTGCAAACTCAGAGACCTAAAGTAACCACAAAGGATGGTCTGAAATGAAAACGTATTAACTAAGAGCAGTTTGTGGCAGGTAGTCACATTCTCGGTTAGAATCTTTCCCTAACGAAAGTAAAATTTTACCTTAACTGAGCCTGTCTGTTGTCTTTTGCATCTAGGATAACATTCCTTTGGAGTGTCAGGGCAACTCTCCTTTTTCCAGACCACTCAGGGCACAACCAGTGCACCAGGGCGATGACCTTAAATCCCCTCATTGCTATTGTAATCATGTTAATTGTTGACTGTTAGCTATCCTATACCCACCTAGGTAAAAATGATCTGTGTGTCTATCATTTTACTTTTCATCCAGTCCCAGAAGTTCTCCCCACACCCTTAATCTATCACCAGTGGATTTCATGTAACTCACTTGCACCTTCTTTTTTGATTGTAATGTATAGAGTAAGTTGCAACACTACCATTCTCTGAAGCATTATCTCAGTGCATTGAAATTTTGCTTCCGTGCAATTATCGACAATTTGGCTCAAATAAACTTATGAAAGTTCTTTACAAGTTTGAATATCTCTTACGATGACACTATTCATACACTCTACTTACTACCTTTAAAACATTGCCTGTTTTGTCCATACTCTAGTGTTGTTGTTAAGCTCAGGGACTGGAGTCTGAGGCTGGGGTTTGAGTGCTGACTCAGTCACTTTCTAGCTCTGTGATCTCAGGTAAGTCAGTTAACCTCTCTGTGTCTGAGTTTCCCTATATATAAAATGAGGTTGATAGTGGTATCTACTTTGGAGTGTTTGGAGATTTCATTAACATAACATGTGCAAAGCCCATAGTAAGCAATGAATATTTGTTAGCAATTGTTAATATTATAAGTTGGCAATGGTTGCTCTAATTCTTTTGTTGTTGTTGTTGTTAATCCTCAGCTGAGGATATTTTTTCCATTTATTTTTAGAGAGTGGAAGGGAGGAAGGGAGGGGAAAGAGAGAGAAAGAGAAACATCGATATGAGACAGACACATCCATCGGTTGTGCCCTGACTGGGCCCGGGACAAACCTGCATCCCAGGTGCAGGCCCTTGACTGGGAATCGAACCTGAGGCCCTTCAGTGTGCAGGCCGACACTCTAACCACTGACACCGGCCAGGGCCTCGCTCTAATTCTTTTTGCCAGTAATATAAAGCATTTTATATCCCTCTCTCTCTCTTTCTCTAGCAAACCTGCAGGACACCTGCTAAATAACTGCTATGGAGTGAATTGTGCCCCCTACTCCCCAAATTCATATGTTGAAACCTTACCCCCAGGGAAATTGTATTTGGAAATAGAGTCTTTAGGGAGGTAATTAGGGTTAAATGAGGTCACAAGTGTGGGGCACTTAATCAGTAGGGCTGCTTACAAGAGGAGGAAGAGACAGAGAGATCTCTCTCCATGCACATAGAGGAATGGTCATGAGAGGACACAGAGGGAAGGTAACTATGTAGACGTCTGGAAGAGCGACCACACCAGAAACCAATCCTGATAGCACTTTGATCTCAGACTTCCAGACTCCAGAACCATGAGAAAATAAATGTCCGCTGTTTAGGCCTCGAGTCTGGGGTCTCTTGTTACAGCAGAGCTAGCAAACTAAGACAATGACATTGACATTCTGAACTCACATATTAAAGGAGAGACAAATGAGCAGCGCTAACACAGCGTCTCATGACATTCTCGAATACCGTTTACCGGTTGTGTTAAAGTCACGTGTCTGTGGGGGAAAGGGGGTGTCACAGCAGGGAGTCATATGCCGCCCGGACTGCTGTCCTCTTGATTCCCTCTAATAATCTTTTTTTTTTTTTTTATCCTCACCCGAGGACATTTTTCGATATTTTGTTCAGATAGAGTGAGAGGGAGAGAGAGAGAGAGAAACATCGACGTGAGAGCGACATATCGAGTGGTTGCCACCCACACGACCCAACCAGGGCTGGGGACAAACTGCAACCAAGGTACGTGCCCTTAGCGGGAACCGAACCCGGGTTTCTCCGGACCGCAGGCCAACACTCTAACTGCTGAGCCAAACCGGCCAGGGCATTCCCTCTAATAATCTTTTCAACAAAATTTATTGAGTCCCTAGACTGACTCACAGATGTGCAGAGATTGGTTAGCTCCTGCGAGGAGCTCTCACTCATATTTCTTTCTGCTTTTAGGCCCATCCCAGAGGATTTTGTAAGAATAAGAATTTGGTTGAATCATCAGGTTCTAGACTAATGTGACCCATGGCCGCTTGTGGCCTTTCATTCCCTCACCAGGGCATTGCTGGCTGAAGTCCTGACCACTCCACTTCTGGGGATGCCCAGAGCCCTCCCCTGCTTGTCTTCTGAGTCCCTTTCCCATGTCCTCTTCCTTCCAAGTGTCTGGCCCGATGGGCTGGACTGTACCTGAGAGGTGCCTTTCAAAAACGTAGGTCATAACGAGCATGCATAAATTTAGTGATCTTAACTGAAGATTGAGAGATCTCAGGAAGGAGACTGGGGAGTCATGGGAGGTGAGGTCCAACTTGGAATCTTCGCTCCCACTTCCGTAGCCTCTTTTCTGCGTATCTTTCCTTCCAGAATTCCCCAAGAATTCTTTTCCCTTCAGTGCATAGAATTCAATTGGGTTCCAAGGCTCAAACTTGCAGAAACCCTAGTTAACAAAATGCCTGCAGAACAAAGAGCCTGCCACTCTAAGGCAATTTGCTTATAAATGTATTATAAGTATATGTGAAATATAATATACATGATATATGTACAGTGACATGTTTATTATATATGCACATTATATGTATGATACAATATACACAAGTGTTATAAAGATATTTATAAATAACATTGTTTTTCTTCTTTTGACTACTTAAGAACAAAGAAGACAATTTAGAGAGAAAAGACACTGCTGAGTGCAGAGATAATGATAGAACTTGAGAACCTGGGTCTCCTCACGGTTCACCCATTGCCTTGTGAAAAGCTGTTTGCAACTGACCATAGAATTCATTTCTCAGGTGTAGGGTGTTTAGAATCTGAAAGTAGGGATTATGTAAATCATGTACCTTTACATTTGGGCAGGATGGTTTTTCAAATCTTTTATTAAGGCTTTTCTAAGATCACGATTAGATAATAAGCGGGGGGGGGGGGGGGGGGATCTCCAAAAAGTTTATTAGCTCACATGGACTTTCCTAGTTAACCCCTGTGAAGGTCAAGTCAGACTTTATTTTTATGTATTTTGACTCTAAATGAACTACATAGAAAATGGAAATAGGAACGAAGAGTAGTCATGCGAAGGAGCAGCAATTATTTTAAGGATGCCACCCGTTTGCAACACGCTTTAATCCTGGAGAGCTTGGCCCTCGTGCCTAGTGGGGCGCAGCAAGAGGTCTGAGCGGCCTCACCCAGCTGTGACTTTTTCGGGGCGCTCTGCCCTCTAAGCACCGCGCCAGGCCCAGAGCGCAGCCCGGGCGGCTCCTGAGCTCCCCGCGCGTCCTGGCCCCGGTCCCACCCCCGCCGGGCCGCCGCCCACGCCCCCGTCGCGAGGGGCAGGGCAGGAGGCGGTGGTCGGCCCGCCCCACGCCTCCTTTAAAGCGTCCGGGCGCGGGCCGGGCACGGTGAGCCTGGCGGCGGGGAAGCGGCGAGCCGAGCTCCCGAAGCGCGAGCGGTCCCAGCGCCCAGGGCTGCCCCTCCCGGAGCGGGTGCCCCGAGTTCCCCGACGCCCCCTGCGCCCCGCGGCCGCGCGCCCCGCTCAGGTGGCCGGCCATGCGCCCAAGCTAGTGCCCGGGGCGCCGCGCCCCCCGCCCGGGCCGCCCCGCCGCCCGCTCCCCGCCGGCATGCTGCGCCCACTGCTGCTCGCCGCGCTCTGCCTGGCCGGCCGGCCGGGCCCCGCCCGCGGCTGCCAGCTGCCCACCGAGTGGAGACCCCTGAGCGAGGGCTGCCGCGCCGAGCTGGCCGAGATCATCGTGTACGCCAGGGTGCTGGCGCTGCACCAGGAGGTGCCTGGCCTCTACAACTACCTGCCCTGGCAGTACGAGGCCAGCGAGGCGGGGCTCTTCTACTCCGCCGAGATCGAGATGCTGTGCGACCAGGCATGGGGCAGCATGCTCGAGGTCCCCGCCGGCTCCAGGCTCAACCTCACCGGCCTGGGCTACTTCTCGTGTCACTCCCACACCGTGGTCCAGGACTACTCCTATTTCTTCTTCCTCAGGTGAGCCCGGCCCCTCGCACCCACAGCACCTCCTCTGCCGCTCTGGGTGACCGACCGCCTGAGGTCACCGGTATCTGGAGCCAGGTCAGGACTCCCACAGAATCCTGTCGGTGCCCTATGAGAATATGTCCTGGGGTCCTCCCCTTACTCCTCACTGACGTCTCTCCAAAGGTACCCAGTATCTCTGGCTAAGGGTGGTTAAAAACAGGAATGATTTGTGAGCTTCATGCAAAAAGTGTTTCAGGCTAACGCTCAAACCAGTTTCCAATACTTCATTTGAGTCAACAGTGTGTTTGTGTGTGTGTTTTTATTCCTCACCCCAAGACACTTTTCTATTTATCATCAGATAGAGTGGGAGGGAGAGAGAGAAAAAAACATCATGTGATGTCACATCGACTGGTTGCCTCCTGCAGAGGACCCGTGCAGGGGACAAACTGCAACCAAGGTGCGTGGAATCGCACCTGCGACTCGCTGGGCTGCCAGCCGACTCTCCTACCGCTGAGCCAAACTGGTCAGGGCTGGGGTGTGTGTGGGGTGTGTGTGTGTGTGTGTGTGAACTGGGCTCAGTGGGAGTAGCTTGGCTGGTGAGAAAGAAAAAGAAAACCCTTTGAGATCAGACTGTAGGAATTCTGGTTCTGCTCCTCCTGATTTTGTGCAAGTTACTGACCTGAAGAACCTCAGTGTCCTCACCTCAGTGACCTGAAAAGCAAGGTTGATTGAGACTGCAACACAGTAACTCACGGAAACACCTAGTGCAGGTTAGATGCAGGAAGAGTCACACTCTTCTCCCCACCTGCTTGAATGTTCGGAAGTGAGTGGTGTGGAATGCAGCCCAGCTGTCTGTCCTCTTGCTTCACTGATATTTGTTGGTATCAGTCTTATATCAGCTGCCAACAGACCTCAATGCCGAGCTAGTCAAAATAGCCAAGGTTTAGCGGGGTGGGCTTCTGGGGGTAAGACTCTGAGTCACAGTGCTTCGAAGGAGGTAGAGGTGAATCAGGCAGGAGGCCCTCCCTGATTGGAAACTCCTGGACTCTTGTGACTTTCCATGAAAGTTGGCCTGTGGTCAGGATCGAGTGCACTTGGGTGAGAATTCAGTCAGTGGTTCCACTGAAGTCTGAAGCTGACAGCAGCCGATGGAGCCCTAAGTGCACTGGTTGTTTCCAGTTGAAATAGGAGAGGGATCCAGAGCCACGGAGAGAAGCATCAGCATGGAATCTAATACTTCTGTTCAGAGAGTGAATAACCGACGTGGTGACTGGCACAGGTTCCAGTCTGCCCGGTGTGTGAAGTAGCAATAAGGGTGTTTGAATGATTGTGACCTGGGTCTGCAGATTCACTTGGAGCTCTTGAGATTCCACATTTCTCTGAGCCGGGAAACAGTGAGTTCCACAGAGGGCGTCCGTAAGCCCATGGCAACACATGTTTTCCATATTGGAGCCAGAATATCTAAGTTTAGAATACATGGTGTGCTTTGTGTTGACTTGAGTGGTTTAACTAAGTTCAGTTGATTTTTTTTCTTCTTTGTTGGGGAAGTATATTTTCTAAATAAAGTCAGCGAGCACTGAGATTGTACCTTTCTTAAACAGGGAAGCTTAACTCAGATTTTTCATATATTTATTTAGAAAAAACACCGAGAACCCAGCTATAAAACTATACAACAACAAAACTTAATTTTTGCAAAGAAAAAAGAGCCGGAGTACTTGAATAGAAATTGTTTTCCCCCCCAACTTTATCATGAAATACAGTTTTGTCCACTAGCTGTGTGGTGGGCAGCCAACTCTTTCATCTTGTGCTCTGACATATTTACAAAGACTTAGGGCAGACATGCAGAGTCAAACAGCAGTCTGATCTCCTTTCGCAGGGCAGTGTTGTCCTAAGTGCGTTAACAGCTGCATACAAATCACTCCTGCCCTGTTGTCCAGCGACCCACTGAGATGCATTCTGGTCAGTGTCACGTCGGGAAGTGGCAGTGCAGGCTCCCTGGCGAGCTGGGGTGCGACTTCCAGCTCTTCTTTCCTTTTCCCGACTTTGTCTTTCTAACAGTCCATTTACACTCGGCTCTATAGAATCATCAACTAACATTTATACCGACTCACTTCGTGCCAAGTCCTTTATTTCCTCACATTTTCTAATGCGGTCCTTACACTGCACCGAGGAGCAGGTGCTGCTTTCCCAGATTGGGATACTAAAGCTCAGAGGAGTTGAAAATTTTGTTTCGTGTCAGACAGGAGATAAGTAGGAAGGGCAAGATTTGACCCTGGGTCATTCTAACTAGCGTTCCGTTCGAGGAACACTCTCTATGAGAAGGAAGGCCTCTTGGGAGATATACAAATAGACAAACATACACACGAGCACACACCTTCCCCCTGCTTCACCCGAAGTCGTCGTTTTGAAAACCTTAAGAAGAGATGCATGTACCTGAGGCAGAGAAATAATTAGAAACAGTAACTCCTCTGATGAGGCCATGTGAGGCGTTGTTGTGTAATTGGCAAGCCCGTCCGTCTTCGCTGACGCTTTGATTAAAGCTGGTACACCCCATAGGTGTCTCGTCTACATCTGCTTTTTCCGCCTTTTCCCACTAGGATGGATGAAAATTATAACCTCTTGCCTCATGGAGTCAATTTCCAAGATGCCATCTTTCCAGACACTCAAGAGAACAGAAGGATGTTTTCCAGCCTTTTCCAGTTTTCCAACTGCTCCCAAGGTCAGCAGCCGGCAACCTTCTCCAGTGACTGGGAGATCCAGGAAGACAACAGGGTAAGAACTGGCTGTACCCTGTGCAGCAGCAAAATAACAGAATAGCCACATCTTGTCTGAGTTTTGTGACTAAAAGAGTCACAAATACTCTTCCCGAAGCCCAGACCAAAGAGTATTATCCTCCCTTCTCCCTCCCTGAAGCAGTAAAAACACTGTTCAGAAACTTCGGATTCCGGAGGCTTTCCTGTTGGCAGGGGCCTCCTCACAAAGTGAGGGAACAAGATGGGAGAAAGGTTGGCCCACTGTACCTCAGTCTCCTCTTCTGTAAAGTGGAGAAACAGTAGCATCTACATCATAGGGCCGATGCAGTGTGATTTCACCATGTAAAATGTGCGAATCTGTGAAGCCCTTAGCATAGTGCTTGAGAGGGTAAGCACTGTACACGTGTGGGCCGTTGTGACTATCCTCATCATCATCGTTGTTGTCCTGGTGTTGCTATTGATAGCACGGGACTCTAAGAAATGTTCTAAGAGGGAAAAATGTCCTTAAGGAAATGAAATGGAAGAATTATCATAGGTAACACTTCTGTGATTGTTCACTAGAGTTGTTGAGACGTAGAGGTACAGGGTGGTCCAGGTGGTGGTTGGATGGAAGGGTCAGGATGATTGGGGGGATGAAGATATCAAAGGGATCTTCCAATCTGGGGCAAATGCCAGAGTTGGGGATAAATTTTGAGGACTGTAATTTTGCCAAAGTGATGGCATTGCCACCGTGGAGGTGAGATGATTGTAGACCCAGGCGAGTCCTGTCTGAGACTTGTTAAGGCAAGTGGCAGACTACTGGAGAGAGTTCTCTGTGTGGTGTGGGTGTCCTGTGGGACAAGGACTGTTTTATGGGTCAATGAGCCAGTGCACATGTTCAGGAGAGACCCGGGTTTGGTTCCCACTAAGGGCACGTACTTAGATTGCAGTTTGTCCCCGGCCCTGGTTGGGTCGTGCGAGTGGCAACCACTTGATGTGTCCCTTTCACGTTGATGTTTCTCTCTCTCTCTCCTCTCTCTTTCTCTCTCTCCTTCCCACTCTATCTAAACAAAAAATGAAAAAATGTCCTCAGGTGAGGATAAAAATAAATAAATAAATAATTAAATTTTTTTATCGAGGACTATTTTATGGGTCAATGAACCAGTGCGCATGTTCAGGGACTTCCTTCCTTCCACCCTCATGTGACGGGTTTGGGCGGAATGCTCTCCTCTTGTCTGGTGCGTTGGCCTAGGGTAGCTGCCTGGTTCTTCCAGATATCCTTATCTTCTACGCAGGGGTCCCTGGCACCCAGAGGCCTTCTTCGTGCTCTTGCACAGCCACTGTCAGCACAATGGGCGGGTACCTCCAACTAAGGAAAACACTTTATCTTTACCTCCTGGATATTATCAAGAGGTCCCTCCCTTAGACCTGCTTCATTAAAGCAGTCTAGAATTCTCTAACCCCTCCTCTGTGGTTTGTCAGAATTTTTCTGTATTTTGCTCCCAACATGGTCCCAAGCACCTGTTTCTTCCCCTTCTTAATCTGCACCGGCACCCACTCCATACCGACGTGGACCTGCCAAGTGTAAGCTTGAGCATCCCAGGCCCGAGTCCTGTCTTAGCACATTCCAGATTTAGGCACGGCCGTTTGGTTCTCCATTCCGTAGGTGTTTTGCTTATACTCTTAAATCCTTGATAACAATAGATTTGTATCACCAGACCAGCTATTATTCCAAAAATATCTTAGTAGCTTAGCCCCACGCTCTTTGGCTACATCACTTATTTATTAGTCCTATGGTCACACAATGAAGCTATTAACATTTCCTGGAATTAGATTTTCCATCATTTGCAGAAACAGGACAATAAGACTGTTGAGAATTGCTTCAATGTGAAGGCAGCCCTATTTCTGCTGGTCAGATGTTGATCTTGGGGAGAAGCCCTTTTCATTTTCCCTCAGATCACCCTGGATGCTTAGATAACAAAGGGGGGGTGTGCTGCGGGCGGGCGCTGAGGAAGAGGCAGCCGCTCTGGGGGAGGGAAGCCGTCCTTCCAGACGGCTCGGCTACTGTGGAACTGCATTTAGCAGTCGGAGCTGATGTACCGTGCACTTTCCAACGCCTCTTGAACCCCTTTCATTTTTATCCCTGCCCACTTTGAAAGGTCGCCCACCAGAGCTAAGTTAAATTAGCTAGCTAGTTTAGAATTGAATCATAAACGAAAATGAAATGACCTTTTTTTGTCAATGTCATGATTTCTATTTTACGATGTTCCTTGGGAAATTTTTATGTGCTCTGGAGTGATTAACGTAGTCGTGAAATGATGATCTCAAAGTGGATGAAAAATTATTGACAATTACTTGTTCCTTTCTTCAAAAGAATGCTAAAATTTTTCTGCCTTTTCTGTGTGAAGGTGAGCATTCCATTGTCTGTCCTACCCAGGGTGAATATACAGGGTGTCCAAAAAAAAAAGTATACACACTTTGAATAGTTATAAATTCCAGTGGGTTAAATCTGAAAAGAAAGAAACATCAGTTGAGCTATCAGCTGTTAAAGTGTGGATACATTTTTTGGGACACCCTCTATTTTGTCCTAAGCAGTCTGTGTTTTTCCTGTGGTGATCCTCACTCTACGGAGGGGTCAGAAGAGCTGTTCAGGTCACATTGTTATTTGAGAAAGAATAGGTCTGAGGACACTTTTGAAAGTCAGAACACCTGAATGTTTCACATGTTCGGAGACCATTATAAGCGGACGGGGCATTGCACGTTACATGCCTTCCATGTGTTACGTGCCGTGTGTTAGCCCGAGAACTCGCTGATCTTGCTGTCTTTCTAATGCTGATGCTCTGAGCTTCCAGCCAGTGCTCTAGGCTGTGGTTGTAAAAGGCGTTTTTCATTCTCTACACTGGTAGTTCTCACTTTCTATGTCTTGGGGAACCAGTGAGTCTGGGACTCTGGAGTCAATCCCGAGGTGAAGCAGTAGAAGAGGAGGAAAAGGGTATGTAGGGGAACCTTTGTGATGTACACCCAGGGCCACAGTCACCTCATCCTCAGCAGCAAAAGCCGCCCACTCTGGTCGCATCTTCCAGCACCCAGCCGGGCCTCCGTAAGTAGAAACACAATCTTCAAACGTCACCAGGAAGCCAGAGGTGTTACTGAACAGTCGTGCTGCTCCGGTTCAGCGTCATGGTGTTGATGGGACCTTGGGGGTGCCTTTGGCAAGTTGGAGCATCCACCAGACTTACTGGCAGGCTTCTCTCCACACCAGCCAAGGACATCTCTGCTGTCCTGCTGGGCGAGTATAACAGTCAAAACAAAAGTTGGATGTTTTCCCTTCACTGCAAGTACTGTCCCCTAGGACCCAGACCGACCCATGCTCATCTAGGTCTGTCGCAGAATGTCAAGGGATTGAAATAAAATTTGCGAGAGTGTCTGGCAATCTCTGTTTTCTCTTTTTCGGAGCTGGGAAGGACTGGGGCGGGGTGTGTGGGGGGTTGTTCTACTCCAAACTGCTTAGAAGGGACATAAACTGCAGCCTGGAGATTTCGGTCTGCTCGGCCACTTCCAGAGAAATGGCCTCATTTCTCACAGCGCCCGTTTCCCCATTTGTAAAGTGGGGCTACCGTATACAAACGATCTAAGATTGTGGTAAGGACCTAGCCGATAAGAGCATATTCGAGAGACTTCATAAACTGGAAAGGGTGATGCAAGGGCTTATTACTGTAAATGGATCTTTTTTTTTTTATCCTCACCCAAGGATATGTTTCTATTTATCTTCAGATAGAGTGGGAAGGAGGGAGAGAGAAATATCGATGTGAGAGAGACACATTGACTGGTTGCCTCCTGCACAACCCCAACCAGAGCTGGGGACAAACTGCAACTGAGGTACGTGCCCTTGGCTGGAATCGAACCTGTGACTCGTTGGTCTGTGGGCGGACGCTCTACTGCTGAGCCAAATTGGCCAGGGCTGTAAATGGATCTTTTTAAAGTAGGACTTTAAAAATGACATATTTTTAAAATTTAAAAAGCTTCCTGCTACTTGGCAGGGGAGGGGCAAAGTGGTGGCAGCGGTGGGGGTGGGGATGTGTGTGGGAACGGGAAGCCGTTATGCCTGCTTCCATTCATTCAGCAGAATTGACTGGATTCCATGCAGGGAGCCTTTACAAATCTCGTGTACTGAATTATAGACAGATACCATATTCATGTAGGTTCCCAAATCTGGAAGCATAAAATGGTAGTCATTGAGTTTCTCTCCCACCTCTGACACCTGTCCACCTAGTTCTCACCCACCCTCCAAACAGGTAGCTGCTGTTAGTAGTCTCTTATAAACCTTTGAGTATTTTCATCCAACCAGTAATGCAAACATGTATCATTTGCCATCTTCTTTGACACAAATGGCAGCGCACTGTGCATACTTTGCTTTACCTTGCTTTATTCACAAGGACGTTGTGATTTTTGCCATATCAGTGAATACAAAGTTGCTTTAAATAGCTGCATAGTATTCCATCGTATGGGTGTGTCACAATATATTTAATCAAGTCCCCTATTGATAGGGAGTTAGATTGTTTTCAGTACACTGCTGTTACAAAGAGTGTGGACAATTGTGACATTATTCATACCTCATTCTGTGGGATTGTTGAGTTCAGTCTTTAGCAAATACTGAGTACCCATTGTGAGGCTGCTACTATGTTAGACAGTAGTTTCAATGTTGAGAAAAATACAAAATTCCTGGTCCATAAAACTTATAGTCCTAGTGTTGGTTATTGACACAGGCAAAAAACCCACATTAATGACTTTATAATTTCAAATGAAAATAAATGCTCCAAAAGAAAGAAAGGAAATGATCAGGGAGTCTGACCTAGACTTAGGCATACGTAAAGCTGCCTCTGTTGTATTGATATTGAAGCTAAGATATGCTGGATGAAGAGGCATTGGGGGAGATGAGAACAGTCTAGAGAAGGAAAGTATATGCAAAGGCCCTGTGGTAGCAGGGTACATGGTGCCTTTAAGGAAATGAAAGCAAGGCCCTGTGGCTAGAGCAAAGGA